CAGGGTTGTCTGTCTTCTGTTCAATATCCTGTATAATCCCGTCTATCCTTCCTATCTGCGTGAGCGTTTCTCCTTTCTCCGTTCTCCTGATGCTCTTTGCAGATCCCACCTTAAGTCTTCAAACTCCTTCACACAAAACGGATTTTGCTTCATATTCCTTCACTGTTCATGCTGCTAAACTCTGGAACTCTTTGCCTGCCGATATACGTGACAGTCGCACTATTTCTGTGTTCAAAAAAAGAGTAAAGGATCATTATCTTTCCTGTTGTTGATACTGGATAGTGTAGGTATTATTAATCTTTATATATTATAGATATTGAAGCGTTAGGGTTGTAGATGGGGGGTGAGAAGCACGTCCAGGCTTCAGGTATAAAGAATAAAACTAATAATAAAGTTTAACAATCTTTATTTTTGTTCTCAGGGGGTAGGTTAAGATATTCGCTCGTTATGGTTCTTATTTCTATGATTACGAGGGGAGGACTTAGCTTTTAAGTTTTGCTAGGGAATTTAGTGAGGACTTCGCGGGTTCGGCGTCACGGGCCGGGCAGAGGCTGAGAAGGGTGTAGACCCGACGTCAGCTCCGGTCAGCAGCACTGAAGGTCCACGAAGCTCAGGAGGACTGGAGTAGATGAAGAAGTAGAACTAGAACTAGCAGTAGAACTAGCAGTAGAACCCCGATTTCGGGGTTATTTAGCACTTACACACAATTTGGAATAATCAAATCACAATGAATCCATTGGACTCGCGAGAAGTCATTTTAAATACTATGGCACCACTATGAGCCGCGCTGCGCTCCTATGTCTGCCTACCTCCATAGTACAATTGTTAACATTGTACCTACAATTATTTTTAATTATATTTTTCTTTAAATTTATTTGTATTAAAAAAAGAATTCAAAACAAGGACAGTTTATTAAGTAAACTGTCACATATCCCCCCAATTAGAGTAGGATTTTACCTAGGAAAACGGTACCTAGTTTATTAAGTAAACTGTTACAATATATATATTATTATTTATATAATGTTTGAACCGTTATGTATTTTTATTTTCTCTCTTTCCCGGTATTTGAATTTGTTTTTTTTATTCCATATTAATTTATTTAGGAGGTACACACTGACTACCTTATTGTATTTCTTTTTCCTGTTTTGGGCCTGCTGGTAGAAATTTCAATTTGAAATAAGCAGTGCCCTTGTACTAATGTCTGTTACATTTGTTCATATGAAATTGTATGTGTGTACAAAATAAATAAATAAATAGATAAATAGATAATCCAACATTTTGTGGCGGCGGCCATCTTGTATATAAAATTTTGTCATAGTTAACAGTATTCTACTACTCAAGCCCTTTTATTTAATGTCCGTATTGAGGGAGTCGTGAAAAATATGTAGGTAATCCAACATTTTTGGTGGCTATTATTCTACTACTCAAGCCCTCTTATTTGATACCCATATTGATGGAATGGTGATAAAATATGTGATCCGACATATTGTGGCGGCGGCCATCTTGTATCGATTTTCATCAAAGTGAAGAACACTCCCGACTAATACACCTTTTAAACAAAATCAAAATGGGTTCATCCGTTCGGGAACTATGATGCCACAAAAAGACACAAACACACCACACACACACAGAGAGACATGTCAAACTTATAACACCGCGTCGTTTTTGCGTCCGGGATTAAAAATATATTGAATTTAGAAAAAGTTGTTTCATATGCGGATCTCCGATAAATTTGATATCGGTCGAATTGCATCGAGCCATAAGTCTAAGTTAATCCTCATTACGTAAGTCAACTTCTAGTGAAAGTCTCTTCAAAATCGGCCAAGCCGTTTCAGAGATTAGCCAGAACTAACAGACAGACAGATAAAATATATTATTTTTGTATATGTACCATGTATACACACAAATGTATTTAGTGAAAAGCGGTTATTTTAATATTACAAATATGCATTCCAATTTTATGTACTAGTATAAGTGTATTGAGAGAAGAAGTACCTTGCTTTATTTGCATTTCATAATATAAATATATATTTTTACTTTCTTATACAAATATACCTAGGGGTCTTTCGACCTATGCTGAAAATAACAAATGTGTATTAGAAATAATTCAATAAGCTATATAAATTCCATATAAATCGAACTTCGTGACCAAAGTTGGAAGTCCCACTATGCTGCTCTATTTACGCTCGCTCGAACGTATCTAGATCGAAAAATGGCGCGAAGAAATGCGACACAGGTCTAACGTTGAGGAGCGCTCGCGCGGTACTGAGCTCAGACGGCCGCTGCATCTTATTTTGTAGTGATTTTGCGTTTACATTTATCGTATTTATTGATATAATATAATAAATTTATGCTTTAAAATTATAATAACTTTGTTCCTTATGAAATAGTCATTAATCTGGCATAAATTTTGTTAAATAATATTGTTGTGGCTTAGAGAAATTCAAAGTTAACTTCAAGCAATTTTTGATGTTTTTTGGTTTGTAATATTATTGTTTGTCTATATTTAATCAGTGCTTTTTCAAAATTTCGAGCTACTGTTTACTTTACGACTATATAAGAGATATCATTCTATTTATTTTATTTCGTTTGTTAAGAACAGTAGCTCAATCCAGGACTTCAAAAAAGTGTCTTTGAGCATTTTATGAAAAACTTTCTCTGGTATTTTGGATTTAATTAAAAAGATGAGCAAAATTTCCAAAAAGTTGAGCCACTAATTTCTATACCAAGAGTTATTCTTCACTATTCAACAAGTCAAAATTGTTAATTTGTTTTTGTTTCCGAGAAAAATCACGCAGAAATCACAGTTGCGATGTAATATGGCTCTTAACTAGCGCCTACTATGGAACTCTAAAACAACAGCGCTACAGAAAGTTTCTACTAATTTGGCGCTTGATGAAACTTCGTTTGTGCAGAGCAGACCTACCAATTCCTATGATTCTGATTATTTCATAATTATGATTCCAATAATAAAAATTTTGCATTTAAACAGGACTCATTCGTTCCGCTTTTGCCACTTTAGTCGGAACTTACCTACTATACCACAACATCCAGACCAGAGGCACTATAGAAAAGTTCATTACACGACTACGGCGAAGCGAAAAAGAGGTTTATCATTTTAGCCGGTATGTATGTAAGAATGTTCGTCTGTTCCCTTGTAACTTCGAAACTACTCATCGTAATTGGGCAAAGGACAGCGTAGTGTCATCGTGATTATAATATAGCTATCGTTATAAATTGCCGATTTGAAATTTCTTGTTTTAAACTTTTTAAGACGTAATTCATTTTCCATATTGACTCGACTGGGACCTCAGATATAGCAGCACCCAGGAAACTTACCAGTCAATCAAGTCAAAGGAACAGAGATCGCCTTTTGAGGCAAAAAAAATAGCCACTATAAAACGTCAATTCAAGCCACTATAATAATACTTTCAACGAATCCCCACATATTTTAATAAAAAACATAACAAAAGTTGTTCTGTATATAATCTCCAAAAAACTAATCAACCATTAAGTAGGTACAAAAATATTTTGTTTTGTAACATTTAAGGGACATTTTTAAAATCATCTATTTTGTATTGCAATTTCGGACTCTTTCGTTACAAAAGACTGCCGACCCCTGAAGTCCATAAACATCAACAAAACTTTTAATTTTAATTACTATCCATATATATATATTTATAATAAAAATTCGTTAACAGCGTATATGGATTTCCATGTTGGTAGAATCGTTGAACGAGTGCCCGCATATATAATAGATAGATTTCCTCTTAGTGCCATAATGCAATTTAAGATGATTCTTCGTGGAGGCTTTAAATAAAAATACCGTCGAAACGTGTATGACACGCGACGTTGCCGAACCTAGTCTCAAATGGTAGTTCTAAACAGAACTTATGAGAATGCTATACGTCTGGAAACGGAAAGCCATCGGGTGTAATACGCTTATTATATTACGGGTTGCATCCGGATATAGCACGCGGTTGATACGGTACAGTGGGCATTTCGGATCGTATCACTTGATTCCTTGCTTGACACGTTGCAGTAGGACGTGCACCCGGTTCTGGAAACAATGTACCCGATACCCCCGGATCCTTAAAAGTTACTAATTGTGTCTGAGAAACATCGGGAATCAGCAGGATACTTGCTGAGATAATCAAATCAGATTGTTTTACATACGAAACACTATCTGGTACTTTTTAAAATTTTTGCTGGGGTAAGTCATCTCTCGTATAAAGGTCGGAGCAAAGATTCACACTTCAACTAGTCATTAATTTAATCAGTTAAGCAGCTAAGTGTAGATATATAAACAATCCTAGAAAGGACAAAGCGCTGAAAGGCTCATAAATGGAATAAAATGTACGGATTCATTTTTGTCGCTGCACAACATCAAAGTTAAGTTTTAATCCGGTTTTGTGGACCTAAAAACGTCAAAAATATGAAAAATGTTTGGAGACATAGGATTGGCGTTTGCATAAGAGTAGACAGTTTATTAAGTCGTGTTCCTGTGTGTAGCAGAGAGAAAGGGTTTTCTAGACTCAGTGCATTGAAATCGCCGATATGCCAGTGAAGCACTGATTTTCAGCCGTCACCCAAGCTGAGAGGAGCAGGGTCAAAATCAAAGAAAAGGAGTGTAAATCAAAAGAACAAACAAAGTCTGAAGCATGTCAGATAAAAATGTTGTCGATGTTATAATAATGTCGGAAACTAAATAAAATATATAAATAAATAATCAACAAATAGTACAGGGTAATAGAATAATAATTAAAATATGGTAACAATATGATGTCAAATTTGAATCAACGTTTCAGATGGTTTTAAAATGTCTAACGTCTAACATAATGTAATAACAATGTAAAAGGCAGTATGTTACTGTTATTTAATTAAAGTCAAATGATTTTTTTATTGAAAGAAGGGTGTTAGAGCCGCGTCTTATGGCACTAAGTTATCTCTGTTTACCTCTCGTAAAGATTAGATTGATAATGAATATTAAAAAAAAAATAACCAACCGATTATCGTTTAATAAGTTTCTAACATTAGAGTAGTATTTTAAAAATCTTCTATTTCGTATTGCAGTCCGTCACAAAAGGTTGCCGACCCCTGAACTCCACGAACATCAACAAAACTTTTAATTCCAAATTAAATATTATCAGATACGATTAAATAACAGCGTTCTCTTCGACTGTTAAAATGACGTTATGAATTTTCAACTGATGTTTTGCCAACTTATTTTTGGTGCCATATTTTTTTTTACATAAATTGCAATTATAATTAAGTTCTAAATGCATCGCTCTATTATGGCGATGCAAAGCTTTCTTATGTGCATAACTCTTATTGCAGATCTCACATACGACTTTATTACCATAATGACATCTTAAATTATGTTGGTTTAAATCTGTAACTACTCTTTTGCATATGGTACATTGTATCTGTTTCAAACTATTCTTTATAATACCGTGCATCCTCACTATATGGCGTTCTAAGGAATTTTTCTGAGAGAACTCCATGTTACAATGTGTACAACTGAAGGGTTTGATACCACTGTGCGATGCTGTATGCCGATCCCTTGAATATTTACATGTGAAATCTTTAGTGCAAATCTCGCACTTGTATGGACGCTCCCCAGAATGTAAACGCCTTACGTGCTTTGTAAAATTCCGTCTACATCCGAATGCTTTAAAGCAAACCTTGCAAGTGTACTGCGAACCGTTTGCGCTGCATCTATGGTTGTTCCTCTCGGAGCCTGTAAAAAAGCTCTTTTCACAGCTGTCACATTTGAAGGGTCTAAGGTTCATGTGTTTCAAAATGTGCACGAGCAATTGCTTTTTCGCACTAAAACTGCTCTGACAGATGTCACAAGTGAACGGCTTCTGTTTCTCGTGCACGGTACGTATGTGTATTCCCATGTTGGTGGAATCGTTAAACGAGTGCCCACATATATAACAGATACATTTCCTCCTAGTACCATAATGCAATTTAAGATGATTCTTTATCGATGCTTTAAATAAAAACTCTTTGGAACACAAATCGCATTTGAATATCTTAGATTTAGTGTGAACGTTCATGTGTTCATTTAGGAGGCTTGTAAATGAAAATTTGCGCGGGCAATATTTACATTTCAAACGCCTGTCATGTGTTTGTCTGTGAGCAGTGACGTTGCCATGGCTATTAAACTTCTTCTGACATATGTCACATTCGTAAGAGCCTGTTGGATGATCCGATTTAATGTGTTGTCTTAACAGCTTTCTGTCGTCGTAACTGCTTCCACATACTTTGCATGAGTAATTTATGCCTTTATCAGTCTTCACTAAGACCTCTAGAGAAAAATTGTCGTTTCTTTTTCTAGCGGGCCCTTTTGTCTTACTCTCTGAAAATAAAAATCTGGTCTGTATAAGGGTCTATAATATATCTCATCATGATCGTGATAGGAACGTACCAAGCAAAAACATTATTTGTAATGAATAATAAGAGACAAAACCCACTGTATCTGACGTGCCATGACCAGACCGTCAACAGAATTTTTTATCTTTGTCGGAACGCTCAATGCATGGCACGCGACTTTGACGAACCGAGTATCAAACGATTTTTATATTACGGGTTGCATCCGGAGGCCTCATTTGATTCCTTTCTTGATAAGTTCCTAGCATGGTAGTAAGACGTGCACCTGGTTCCGAAATACTCTATTACTTCCTGGGTTCTGAAAACAATGTACCCGATACCCCCAGTTCCTTGCAAAGTTATTTATTGTCTCGGAGAAACATCGGGACTCAAAATTTATTTGCTGAGATGATCAAACCAAGTGGTTTTACGTATCACAAACTTTTTTTTATTTAATAATATCTTTGCTTGGGAAAGTCATTCCTCAAAGATCGGAGCAGGGATTCACGCTTCAACTATAGAGCCATTAGTTTGATCAGCTCGTTTCACGTTATTTAGTGAAGAAATTCTATTGACGCCATTTTTTGTATTAAAATACAAAACAAAATGATGAATTGATGAAAACAAAATTTGAAAGTCGGAATCGGGAAAACAGACACCTCAGGTTGTAATTGCATAACAGAAACGGGTATCAAAATTCTTGAATCGATTCCGTTCTGCATATCCTTTAGGTATGTTGAGATGTAATAGAAAAAAAAAACATAAGGGTCGATGCCACAGTGGCTAGATCTGTAATCCGGAGGTTAGGCTATTGTCGCATTGGCCGGCCACAAGACAAGTAGTCAAAAATGTCTAGGTCCTCCGTGCTTCGGAAAACACGTTAAGGTATTGGTCTCGGCTGTATTTGCCGTCATAAACATCCACTATGCCGCGCTGGACCCGCGTTGTGGGTTATAATATGCTTGCACTCCAGACATCAAGACTACTGATAATGTTCTTAAAATTTTGTTACTTATGCTAATTTTAAACATACACATTTTAATAAATGCTATAAACAGTTATAATACTTACTTCGCTTTACGATTTTCTTCACGTTGGCGTTCATATTTTTATTTGTTGATTTCTCAGTTTTCAATTCAGTCAATTCAATCTCACACTTCCCACCTGAAAACAATATTTATAAGGATGGAAATCACGGATTTAATAGTTTTGGCAGTCGTTAGGTGGCGTTGTGTTTGAATTTGTATTATTTTATCAATCACTTTTTATGTCTGCTTAAACATGTCATTATTGAACTTTGGATTTAGTTGATTTAAACATTGCCACAATTTTCTACTAGTAAAATGTTTAAAAAGTAATATATTATTTTGCATCCATATTACAGGTTGGCACATACATTTTATTAAGCTAATGGCTTTACCAATAAGAGATAAGCGTTGTATAGTTAAACAGTGTTTTGTCTTTTTCACTCGAAATGAAAGTCATACAAAGTTGGCGTGAGTCTAGAGAGGTCCTGTTATCAAGAGTAAAGACGCGCTCTCCCGCTTACCAAGAAAAATGGCGGGAATCAACCGCAGCTCATGCATGCGCACTAGCTCACCTGTGAACGTCAAGATAGCAGGCACACCAATGAATTAAAGGGTCAATAAATTATGAGTAATAGTGATACATAAGCCTATTTATATACAAAAAAATATCAGAAATATCTCGAAATCATACAATTATTTATAAAATGATCTTAGAGCTAGACTAGATGTCTAGATTTTGTTTGGATTAGAGATATATCTGATTAATGTTGTGCCTGCTAACTTGACGCTTAAAGCATCGGCGATTCCAAACGGGTAAGAATTTGAAGCTGTAGTTGAAGTTTTGACTCACAAAACAATTGTGACTACTTATGATTTATAAACTAGTATATCATCATAAACAAATTCTTAGGAATTCTTTAGGACTAGTTACATCTATTTTTGTAACGAACAATATACGCACTTCAGATTACCAAACCGGAATATGTTTTTCCAAAGTTGATTTTAGACTCTTTTCCCAATGTTATTAGGTTTACAAAATCAAATGTGGTTTAGTATTACTGAACCGCACTGGAAACCTACACGTGGGCCCAGCACGATTACTGTTTGGATTGGTACCATAATATTCATCAGAGAAATCGGTACCCTTAGCACCCCAAAAAACCGCATGGGGTTTAACACGTGGGCCCTGGGATTACTGATTGGATTGGTATCAAGCCATGCATAAGGCCTGTAGGTAGGCACCTAGCAGCCTACCAATCCGCGCTGAAGCCAACACTCGGGGCAAGTACAGATCGTTAGGTTGCTGGGTACTGTAACGTCCGTGCGCATTACTATAGGTAAGTTTACTACGGACGATTTACGCTCAATGATGGCCGCTAATATTTTACATATAGGATTTCATTGAGCAACCCTGAACTACTTTGCCATATATTAAAAAAGAAGAAGAGGAACTGAAGCATGCAAAATCATAGACAAACATTGCCGAACTAAGCAAGTGCTTGATAAGGCATTACCGAACGTGCCAGATTTGGTGAAACCACATGAATCTGGTTAAGTTATTCATAATAATAAATTATTACTAGTTAAGATACGCCTTGTTCTAGGTTAGTGAAAACGGGCATAAGACATCTTAGCGGAGACTGATTAGACAGCGCGAGCTCGTAAAAAGCTTGATTTCACACATTTTAAATCACAGAAAAAAACAAATGCAATAATAGAAAAATAATTTTTAGTTTCCATTAGATTATATCAAAATATATTTATGTATATATTTTTTATATAGTTATATGAAATATATTAATCGTAAAATCGATCCAATAAGACTATTTAGAGTCATCTTTGCGATTTTTTCTATCGAACCGATTATTGCCATTTATGTTTCTGTATTTAGCAAACTATCGATCATATATTAAATTTTCATAAAATTATTTTTATTTGGCAAATATTGGAATAGCCTTAGAAATAAATTTTTCTAAAAAGTAGTCATCTGAAGCAATTCGCCTTAAATAAACCATTTTATTAAAAATATCGAACATGCGCAATAAACACTAATCTCTGATTTAACCGTTTTTTCATCCGGGTTAATTTTCTTTATCAGCTCTGTTTTTAAAGCACATTCATTGTCCCGTAATTCATAGATTTAATTGTGTGGTATCCCAAAGTTCAAAATTTGTTTTTTTAATTTTATTTCATAATTTTTAGTGATATTAATATTTTTGTATATAACAGCTAACACTAATAATATTAAATAGCATATATCGACGGCGAAGTGCCAATACCTCCTATCTAACATTTTTCGAGAAAATGACTTTTTTATTTCATTGACGTTAAGGTCGTTTTCCACATGGGTTCATGAAATCACCTATCCGTATTTTTTACGACAACTGGAGAAAAATGAATGTGGAAATAGCTTCTAACTAAATTAGCGTATATAATTTATGGCAATTTCTCCTATCTACGTACAAGACTACTACATCTAAACGCGAAACATTGCCGATTAACTTTTCACAGCGGCTGCCGCGCCGCGGCTCGTGATATGGGTGAAGTTAGCGGTAGGGTTGCGTCACGTCACTTGCGAGGGTGTAATATCAATCGTATGTACATGGCTAGTATGTACAGGATTACCAGCATGGAGGCGAAGACATAGCTGTCAGGTAATTTGAGGTACCTGAAGGACTCAATATGCAATATACCAATCCTGGGGATGCCTACTGACACCATGCCCCCGAGAATCGATTCACACAGGTCATATCTTGTGAAGATACCCACCAGGGACGACTGGTCAAACAATCGTATAGTATGGAAAAATGGAAGCCTAAAGTGGTACACTGACGGCTCCAAATCCGGTCCTGAGGTAGGATGTGGAATTCATGGAGAAGCCCCAAGGAAGGCTATAAGTCTGAACATGGGAAAGTACTCCTCAATATTCCAGGCAGAGGTTGCCATTTTGGAATGTGCGGCAGCCAATCTGCAAAATAACTACCTCAATCATACTATCTACATCCACTCTGATAGTCAAGCTGCACTCTTAGCACTAGCTTCCGACATAACTAGATCGAAGCTGGTAGAGAACTGCAAACAGACATTGAACTCTTTGGGCAACAACAACAAAGTAGTTCTACGATGGGTTCCAGGTCACGCTGGACACGAGGGCAATAAACAGGCGGACAAACTGGCGAAGAAGGGTGCTAAAGACGCCCTTATCGGACCAGAACCTTTCTGTGACATCCCTCAAAGCCTAACCCAGCTCACCTTGTAAACATACTGCCACTACGCAGCTATTCAACTATGGAGAAACACTCCCGGTATGAAACACTCTAAGACCCTGATTAAAACCCTCAACAAAAAGGCGGCATCAGAGGCCTTAAACTTAACCAAAAATCACCTTCGCACACTAGTACGAGCACTCACAGGGCATTGTGGACTGAACAGACACATGTACAATATGGGGATCAGCGGCAGTAGAATGTGCAGAGGATGCAAGGAGGAAGAAGAAACACCTTTGCACATTTTGACCGATTGCCCGTCACTAATGCGAAAACGATGTATCTATCTGGGAAAGCACGTGATGCACCCAGACGATATTAAAGAACTTACGGCCAAGAAAATAATACAGTTCCTTGTAGAATGTAATCTTGACCGTGAACTGTTGTATGTGGAGATCACAATAGATCAGCAATGGTCGCAGTGATACTGGGCTGCATAAACCCAAGATAATCCGCAACTCGAAACAATACAACAATATCAATCGTAAAAGCAATTTTTCAAAGTAATTATTGTTTTAATTAAAATCAATACCTTCTATCGTACAATTTATTTAATGAAATCACTGAGGATGTTAAACCAATACCTTCTATCTAACCAAATACCTACTAAACGATTATTAATCAAATTAATATTTTATTGAAACCTTAGCCTGTCATATTGATATGTGCTCCATATAAATTGATTTCTTGATTTTAACGTTTTCAAGAAATTAAACATTTTTTTCACTTTGTGTAAAATTTTGTCTGTGTTAGTTAGAAGGTATTGGCACTTCGCCGTCGATATACATATATATATATATAGCAATATCCAACATAGTGAAAGTCTTAGAAAGATTTGGTTGTTTGTTTAAAATGGGATAGGCTCCGAAACTATTGGAACAATTTATAAGTCTTTCATCTATGAGAAGCTACATAATATGCAGGGTATATACGCTATAATTTACGCAGGCGAAGTTGCTAGAAACACATAGCTTGATAGAAATTGGTTCACAATACAAGAAGAAGTGGATGAACTACTTTAATAAAAAGTATACATACTCATTGAATTTAGAAAATCCTAATTCCTTCGGATTTTGCATGAATGCAAAATACGCAATATTTAATTTTTTTGCCCAAGAAAACTTATCTAAATATTTAGGTGATAACTGATGAAAAGAGTATTTTGTTTTGTTATAAAAGGAAAACTAGTCATTCGATTTGATTAAATATAAATGGCAACACTACGGTCCATAAGCTGTAGAATAAAAAAAAGAATATTGAAAATCCGCCAACAACTGGCGAAAAAATCGGTGAACATACATAAAAAATATAAACATCGCCGATGAACATATAAGCTCCTCCTTTTCGATTTCGAAGTCGGTTAAAATAAATTCGCGCAGCTCACTAAAAAACTATGATATTTGACATTTTAAAGACCTCTCACGCTTCTAGTCGCATATACAAACGCATGAGCCTTCATTGGAATGACGTAAAAAGACAATTTGTAAATAAACAACGATTATAAGTTTATATTCTCTATGAAAAAAGTTTAAAAAAAAATCCAAGATACTTTTGTGAATACAAAATTGATCAAATAGATTATAAGTTTCTTATAAGTAAGGATATAAATGTTTAACTGCAAAATAATAAATCACAACACAATAAAAAAGCGACTTCATTTTCAAGAACAAGAAAAAAAAATTATAAATCCCTTTTTTATTATAGTTCCCATTTTTGGTTGTATTTCGATTAAACAACACACCCTGCACCTTGCAAATTATGCCTTATTAGAATGGCCATAGTATCGCGAATAAGCTACTTGACTCTTAAAATTGACCATACCGTGGAATTTTAGCAATAAGGACACCAACATCAGCCCTGCGATTCTGTAAAAATTCAAACCCGAACTCGAATCCACTTAGGTGTCCGAATTCACTTCAAAAAACGGCATCCGCTCAAACTTGAATTGGTAATAACCTTTCGTGGCATAAGTGAAGCGAGTTTCTAAATGATATAGGATTAAAATATCTGAGACACGTATAATCAATCAGTTTTGTTTAGTGTTTTTATACAAAAAAATGGAATCAATAGAATTTCTACTCTAAATGACGTGTATTCGAACATATGAGTGAATTCGAATTCGGGTCTGGATTTTTACAGAATCGCAGGGCAGCCCAGGATGTGTGAAAGAGACGGGGAGTTTATTTTAAAAAAAGACATCACCGTCTAACATATGACATCTAACTTTTCGATTTTGAAGTCTGTTAAATTTTTACTGTGTATACAAATCATCTTTTATTCTACTCCGCATGTTGACTTCTTCAATGGTCTAGCACGGATTGTGCGAGAGATGATTTTATTATTAACTCTATAGTAGGTAACTAAAATTATGATAATATCTTGAATAACGTTGAATGGCAAAAGAAGCTGTATTTATTACATTTTAAGACTAAATTCCATTTAACTCGTGTTAAAACTTACTAAACATTTAATGTAATTTTATAATAATTAATTTGCATTCAATTGGATGTTTTAATTTCATACATGATCCACTTTAAAAACTCTTCAGTATGTTAATATTACACATAAAGAATAAGCTATATAATTATTATGTGTGGACTTACCTTCATATTTTATATTACTACTACAAATATTCATATCGAAGCCTTGTGCATCGAAATCTGAAATGTTAAAAATATTTTTTGCTAGTTTCTGAAAAATCAATGATCGAAATTAAAAAACTCGTTTGAAATAATATACAAAATATCAAGATATATACCAATTATTTTTAATCAATGATTCCCAATTTGATCTTTTCTATTTAATCATCACATTTTTGAGAAGTTTTAAGAATATGCTAGCAGCAAAGGGTCGATTGAAACTGGTAAATCTATAAATGACAAATAAAAAAAAGGAAAAGTTTGGGTATCTCTGATCTAAATTATTTCAGTGGTTTCTGGGTTTTAAAACAAACTATACTCCATTCATTATAGCATTAGACAGAAGTTAAATAAGGTACTTTTTATGGTATACTTAGTAACAAAATATCAATAATCATCTTACTCTTAAGACTGACGGCTAATTTGCTACATATTCACTTAAATACCAGCTGCTATACTTAACTGTTGTTATTAAAGCTATCTATTAAACAAATTTATGAGTATTTGACTTACTTAAATGATTTAATAACTATTACAATAAAAAGTGTTCAGCTTAAAGAACCTAAAGAAGCAGAGTTGGATAGTTTCGGCACGATTCTCATGTCATTATAACTCTACCAAATTTAAAACGTTGCCTAATCCCTTCAAACGTTTCTGCAGTATAACTTTTTAATTTTACCAGACTATGATGTACTCATAATTGTCAAAAAACGTAATCTGGGATTATCATCCATTGTGAATGCCTGCCTTTCTTGTTGTTTTGCTATTTTCTGTGATTAAGATGTTATTGTTTTATTTTCGTTTTGTCAGTTTTGTTTTTGTTGTTAAGTTTTGTTTAATATGGACGATGCCGGTGCAGGCCCGAGTGGCCTGACCTTTGACATAGGAAGTTTTTCCAGTGTCTTCATCAATTGTCTAATGTCTAAATAAATGTTATAAAAGTAATAATTAATTTTTTTTTTTGTTTGCCTTTCCTTCCCGGGTACAGATATAACTAAATTCTATTCTAATTATATACACTTACAATTAGAATTTATCAAAACAACAGATAAATAGTTTTAGTTCCATGTTGGCTTGCTGGCTAGAAAATGCTGGCTTTAGAAAACCATCTCAACCCGAGGTATCGTAAAAAATGGAAAATTGCCGACTCTCAGACTACAAACGTTCAAAGTTTCAACAAAACTATAATATATATACTCTATTTTCTAATAAACTCCATTCATTATAACATTAAAAACAGCAGTGCAGCAGTGCAGAACATTTTATTTTGAAGATAAATTTAAAAAATATATTATATTATAGTTTAGTTGAAACTTTGAACGTTGTTTGCAAGAGTTGGGCAATTTTTTTTTATTATTACTTTGATAATATTTATTCAGATATTAGACTATTGATGAAGACATTGAAAAGAAATCCTGAAATGTCAAAGGTTAAGACTTGAGGGTAGGCATGGGAGCTTAGAGCGTAATTGTTATAGGTCACTCGGGCCTGTAACAAACACCGGCATCGTCCATATTTAACAAAACTTAACAACGAAAACAAAACTATAACAAAAAAAAAATAAAACAATAACAACTTAATCACGGAAAACGGCAAAACATCAAGAAAGGCAGTAGCATTCACAATCGATGACAATCCCAAATTACGTACCTATTTTGACAATTATGAATACATCATAATCTGACGTTTGAAGGGATTAGCCAATGTTTTACATTTGTTACAGCTATAGTGACATGAGAATCATGCCTAAACTATCCAACCCTGCGTCTTTAGGTTCTTTAAGATGAACACTTTTTATTGTAAAAGTTTTTAAATAATTTAAGTTAGTCAAATACTTATAAATTTGTTTAATAGAATGCTTAAATGATAACAGTTAAGTATAGCAGCTGATATTTAAGTGGATATGTAGCAAATTAGCCGTCAGTTTTAAGAGTAACATGATTATTGATATTTTGTCACAAAGAATACCACAAAAAGAACCTTATTTAACTTCTGTCTATTGCTATAATGAATGGAGTATACACCAGTCGAGAACAAAACATAACTGATTTATAATTCGATTACCCACACAAACTATGACATTAAATTCTGTCAATATAACATACATACCATCATACTCTATCTTGTTGTCTGAATTATCATGTTTTATATTAATATCTGTAAAAAAGATACAATAAGATTGAATAGTGCATTTAGTGACGCTTAATTATGGTAACTCATTAGATCAAAATTATGTATGACAAAATAAAAAGATAATGCACTCACAAGAAAAAATTAATTGACACAAGGGCTATAGCTATTTAGTTAAATTGAGTTAGTGTATTTGATCTTATATAAGACTAGCTGTTTTCCCGCAACTTCACACGTGAAAATTATAGTCCATATCAAACCGTAGGAATTTTTGTTTTTAAAATCAGTCCAGTAGTTTCGAAGCTTTATGGATGCAAACAATCAAATCGTTATAATATTAGTATAAATTATTTACTATCATAATCAATACTATTTCAATTCCAGTATTACATACCTTCAATTGTAATGTTTACTTTTCTTTGGTCATCTGAATTTAAAACCCTTTGTTTCCCTACTGGTAAAAAAAACAAAAAATATTAACAAGGCTAAATATTTTTAGAGATGCGCCGAATATTCGTTTGAGATTCGGTATTTAGTGAATTCGGCATCTTTTTCAGTATTCGTATTCTGCCGAATTATTCGATTTTAATGCCGGTTCGAGAATTTATATTTTCTTGACTACATAACAAGTGTATAAAACTTAATTACAAAACTTATTTTGCAAGACTTATGTTATATTAAAAGTCAAAGAAATACCATGAGATCTAGAAATATCATGATAAAAAATATTTTTTTAAACTATAGTCAACATTTATTTTAAACATTTAATCACCATTAACTTTTAAACTTCAAATCGATCTTTAACATTGTTAATGAATTTACTTAAGACGCAAATTGTCAAAATTAGACACTATAACCTCTGATATAATATCTGTATTTCTAGAGATAGAGATATACTATTAAATATAACAGACGTCAGAATCAAAATAAAAGTCCATTGAGTTTAGCACTTAGCCAGCCTCATTTTGTATCTAGTTCAGGGACGGCAGGTTGTGAAATACTTTTACCCGACCATACGGACAGTGTTCACCGCTATGCTATTTAGATCGTCCATATATAAACTCAAGGGCTTAAAAGCGTTTCTGAAGCTGGAGTTGGAAGTTTGCAGGGTTTGTGCAGTCATTGGCCGAAGTGTAGATTTTATCAATCGAGATGTTTCAAGCTTGATATTGATATACTATGCGCCTGTGTTCGACTTTGGGCATGAAAGTCCATCTCGAAAAGGTATAAAGTTAAGAAACAAAGTTGTTGAAGAAAATTTTAAGTAACCTTAAGCCTTGACATTCCGTTGAAATGAAATGGTAAGTTTACTAGGTTTGGTAAAATTGGCACTTAATATATCAATAACAAATAAAACTCCGAATTAAAAAAGTGAGGTCTTATGGTCCATGGAGAAGACTGGAGAGCGCATCGGCTCATTCTTGGTACAAATACATCTCACCGATTTGTGGTGCGGGGGAGGTCAATTTCGGCGGTGTTTATTGGCTACTTAAAAATCACCGAATACTTTAGGGTTGCCAAGTTGGTAAAGATATCGATATCAATAAAAATAGGTTAATCAATTCCAATAAATTGAACGAATAATTTATTTATAACAAAATGGAAATAATTAATATACGTAAAACATAAATAGTTAAAACAGTCGCTACCAAGAGACAATAATACTTATTATTTCACTTATTATAGAGTAGAAATAAAAAAATCTAATAATTTTGTGATAAAAATAATTTTTGTATTTACTTTTTGAAACGCATTACTTATGGGTCTACATTTGGATCATACCATAAGTCCATTTCACAAAACTGTCAATTAACAGTTAAATTAGATAAACATTGGTAATTCTATAACACAAACAAGACTAAATTTATTTTTAACCCTGTCAAACAGCTTTTTTTTATGGGATAGGGGCAGACGAGCAGACGGATCACCTGATGGTAAGTGATTACCGTCGCCCATGGACACCTGCAACACCAGAGGGGCTACAAGCTCGCTGCTGGCCTTGGAGGGAAGGGTTGAGGGGTAGAGGGAAAGGAATAGGGAGGGGTTGGGCCTCCGGTACCCTCACTCACACGACGAAACACAACGCAAGCGTTGCTTCACGTCGGTTTTCTGTGAGGCCGTGGTATCACTCCGGTCGAGCCGGCCCATTCATGCCGAAGCGTGGCTCTCCCTGTATAAAATTTCGCATATGATTATATTAATATAACGTATTATTAGGAATTCCACATCCCACATTATTATTAGGAATACACAAGTTTTCTTATATGTATAAAAATAAATTGCTGTTCATTTGTCCCGCTAAAACTGGAGAACGGCTGGCCCGATTTAGCTGATTATAGTTTTGAAACGTTTATCGTAGCCTAGGGAAGGTTTTCACAATGAGAGGTGATACGAAGTACACCGGGTCATTAGGAATTCTGCAGACACAATTTTATTTAAAACCTAAATGTTACAAAACCGTGATAAAATAAAAGCCACGTAACTTATATTATAATCAACGTCATATCGTTGTCATTTATATCTTACATTTTTCTTGAACAGTTATAATTATTAATTAAACTAAGTAAAACTTCCACAAATTTTATTTTAAAATATTTTTTTTTTGCTACTGCGGAACTTGAATATTTTCCAAATTCAGTGATATCTGTAAAAACATATCTTAAGAATACTATTTTAATAACCAATCAACATAAAAAGATACTTGCCAGAGAAGGTAAGTACAGTGTGGGTAAAGATGAACTGTATAACAGCGTCTATTTTTAAAATTTTCACAAAGTCTGGAGTTAAAGTTTAGTTCATACACTTACCCAAAACTAGCTGAGTAATCGATAAATCTAAATTATTTTGTCTCTTTATAAGGCTAATATCTATATCATCAAAGGTTCTTCAGATAAATCATGAAGGATCGCAAAGAAGACAAACATACAAACGTAAAATTATATTTTTTCGGATGAGTCATAAAAACGTAACAGATAGATTTCATATTTACCCCCTAATCCGGTCCTGTCTGAACTTTCATACAAACTTGTGAAACACTTAGTCCCCCATAATTCGGACTTATTAAAAAATATTTTTAACTGACATTGTCAAAATATTACTATGTTGCCAAATTTCATGTCAGTAATTTTAATATTTTTTTCGATTTCATAATTAATGGTAGCTCATCTATACATATAATTATAAAACAAAACTTTCTAGCTTATGGTATTAGATTTAATTAAACCAATTGTATAATAATTGTCAAATCTATATTCGGACTTTGTCTATATATTTTGTTACGATATCGTTGTACAGCAGTATCGAGAAAAAAAAGAGATAACTACTTAAGAGAAATCAATGCACCAGAAAGAGACGACATGGTAGTCATCAACGCGCGCATTTCAAAAATAATAATTTGTAATAATTTTTTTTTGGTCGTATTTTAATTTCAAGATAAAGATAGAAGATCACATACCTGTGAAATGATATCCCATCTCTCGTGTAACTTAAATCATAATGGACTTTCCACACCATTTATTAGTGCAACCAGGCATCTTTTCAAATTGTTTTTAAATTTAAAACGTCAGAGCGTAACATGCCAACCCATGCTTTATTATGACTTTGAATGACGGAATAATTCGTTAGTGCACTTGAATTTGCATACTATTTTCGAAGAGCTTGCCCTAGCATGCTCACTCCAGTCTACTCTATGTCCTAAACATAGTGTGAATTGATTATATTTCTAAGTAAAGAATACCAATACCTTGAATAAGCATTCATGATTAAATTGATCATTGAGAGACACAGCGAGATTTAAAATCATTGCTATAATAAAAATGTTACAAAGATCTTGTCTTTTCCCTGACTTTACGGTCGACCTAATATTTTCACTGACTGTCTCTGACCATTTTTTACTTTCCTGACTTTTCCATGACTCCCTGATTTTCCAAAAAGTGATCACCCTGTTCATATATGGGTAGTCCCCATGAAAATATAAGAAATCAAAAAGAAACATGTATATTCAAACATTTATAATTAATAAATATTAAATTATGGAGCAGAAACACCAAGTTCTTGGCCCTCTTCGACAAGTCTATTGTATAATCCTTCATAAAGTTTATTTGCTTCCAAAATAATCTATACACACACCCATTACAAGGAGCACTGAAATACACTGGCAAAACAAAATCAATTAATGGGTAAAGTTAATAATTCGGCCAAACACTGTTCAGTATTTGGTGAAACCACTATTTGGCGCATCTCTATTATTTTTAAACAATATCAAACTTCAAAGCTATTTTGATTTGATACAAGTCTACATCGATATACTTACACGATAAGTATTGATCATAACCCTTATTACTTACTACACTGTCAATTTCAACTTTCACTGTTGTACAACCAGTGGAACCCATTTGATCTATAATAATAATATAAATTATTTACATTGAACCAAAAATAACGAATTAATAATCTTTGATTATAATTATATTAAATAAAACAATTATTATGTCACTAACACATACTACTAGAACTTTACTCAATGTGGCTTTTATTGACCAAGAAAATAATGGTACAAAAAGTGTACTTAAAGCTCCCAGTCAATCTAGATGATAACCAATAATTGCAATGGCAGCATAGAGTACATAATACTGAGTATTAGCAAGCATACAAAGTAAGTAATAAATAATAATAAAATACTTACATGACATTAAATTATCATCAAAATTATTATCAATATCTCCCTCATCAATTTCAAATTTGACATTTATACCCATCTCATCTGAAATAATATAAATACATTAAACTTAGCTTATGAAGATTAATAATTTTATAATTTAATATTTTGCTATGCTTTAAATCATGGTCTTAACTAAGTAAGAATTTAGATGTAAAAGGCTTCACAGAGTTATAATAATATTAATGTAATCATGCAGAATGACAGCTTAATAATAACACTAACTCATATGTCACTGACTATGTAATAAAAATTGATGATGTAAAAAAAATATATTAAGAGGACCACTTTGATTTATTATGGGTCCATGAACCAGACAATGCTATGAAATGCTAGCACCACTTTAAATTAAACAATTTCTGTTTGTTTATAAGTTTTTGGAATTAATGTGATGTGACTAGAAACAATAAATGAATAAAAGAAACAAAAATAAAACTCTTACTTTTACAATATTCTTCAAACTTTCTTTCACATAAAATGATTTGTTTTTTAAACTGGTGAGCATCACGAATCCGTACAATGCAGTCTTCACAGACACTATAACTTGATTCTAGCAATGGTTTGCTTATCTGTGAATGTTATAAATAAATATTAGACATGCCACACAAAATAGTCTTTAATCTAACATTGATGGTGGGTATAAATAAGTTACTAAACCCAACTTCCAAAATCTAAGATTGAAAGTTAGAAAAGCAAGAGTACCTGTGTAGTTTTAGAAAGCAAAAAAGAGTTTGATCTTTATTCAGTGAACACTTGTAAATAGTGATGATGTGAGAATTAGAAATATTGTGGGAGTTTTTAAATACACAACTTTATGACATTCTTATAAGTTTTCCTTTGAACCTATGATAATGCCTAAAAACTACCCAGGATATGCCAAGACATTAAAAAAGGAAGGCATGTCGTGGGAAAAGAGGACAGTTTACAACTCTAAAATACACATTAAAAAACTCAGACCTCAACATTGAAAGTGTCCCATAGCATTGTAGAATACACTTCAGTTTCATCTTTATACTGATAGGGCTCTGCAAGACTTTTGAAATTGCCATCCGTGTGACAACAGCGACAGATTGCATTTAAATTCCATATGTCTACGTTAGACATTTTCAATTTTCCTTTACTTTGGTAATATTTTAATTAAGAAAAGCTAACTCTCACAACGTATTATAACTAAGGCCATCTTCTGCAGTGATATGCAACTAAAGTTCTCTCTTATTCTTTCAGCGTCAACTACAAATGTGTAATATAGTCACAATATAGTTTTGAATCGAATACTTTGATTAGGAAATCTTAGAAAAAAAATTTAATACTTCACAAAACATAAACAACCACAGAAACTATAAAGACTAGAAAACAACTTTCGGTAAAAGTAGTGATGTTCATTTCGATCACATCTCGATATATTTAACACGGCCCGTCAACTCCGTACAAGAAACCAATCGCGTAGGGGTCCAGTGATGTATGACATTTCCACACGCCCCTCACCCCTGTCAGTAGATGGAGACATGACACCTGACAGAAACTGTCATTACAACAAAGAGTAAAGATACTAATGTTTTAATTAATCTTTAATTCATTTCATTTTTATTTTACATGTTGGAATTAATTTATTCACTTCATATTGGCAAAATTGTGTGAATGCGCAGATATGCCATTAATAAAAGAAGAAGGAGACTAAAGTATGTACCTACATATCAGGGAATTACAAGTGATTGAGTAAAATTTCGTTTGTGCTTACCCTCTTCGCTTTATTTGTAATATAAACTCCTTTTTTCGAAGTATTTTTCTTTGTAGAAGATGCCTAGGATATTGGTGTGTTGTGTTATGGTTGTGTTACACGCATTATTAAAGTACGAACAGGATGCTATTCTTTGTAAAATTCTAGTGAACGAGAAAAGATTCTCCAAGTGGTTACAATGTCTTAGTGCTGTGTGTGATACTGAAAATTTGAATCCAGGTAGAAGTGTCATTTGTAGCAAACACGTTGTACCAAGATTCATTACTCCAAAATCACGACTCTTGGGTGACGCACATCCATCATTGTTTAATGATGATGGGCTCTCAATCAGCCTACCCTCTTCAAGCAATACTGGTAAGGCTGGTTTAATCTGCTATTACCTTTAGATAATGTAATTAAAATGATATGTATCTTCACTTTATGTTGTGTTTTGGAATACCGCTATTCTTCATTAGATTTTTTTGTTATTACAGAAATTATATTCAATTCGGAACACAGCTATGCAAGAAAAAGTCATGTTGACCACACATATTAGAAAGTGGAACTGAACAGAGGTTTGTTTTTAATTTATTTTATTTAGATAACAAAGTTCATGCTGCAGTTTTGGTGTATTTTAACATAGATTTCTGCTTTAAAAAAGTCTAGTAGATCTGTCTTTCTTACACAAATAAAGAAAAATTACATTAAGTTATTTAACTCTAGCGGGGCATGCTAGAAGTGATTTTGATCAGAGAAAAAATTTATAATATAAATAACATATTTCTAATATCATCTAAGATTAGGCATATCCTGTTTTTTAATCTTACAAACATAATCAATATTGATTTCATAGGTGGTGTAATTTTCAAAGAACAAATTGAGACTCCTGTGTCTGCAGCCACTGAGTTTACTCAATTAGTTGCTTGTTCTGGAGATTAAAATATGACACAAACTAAATTATCTGGTAAGACCTGTCTCTTTCTTTAGTGTATCTTTATTTCAATCAAATAGTAGTTCTAATAGAGAAATTCACTGAATACTTTTGATGTTATAGACCCTGTGCAATGTACCCAAACAAAAAGGAAAAGGCTTATTACCAAATAAAGCCAATTGTCACCTTTATACCAGAGAATTTATGAAGAATATAACAAGCCAAAGATGTAGCTGAACTTTCATAAAAAAGTTAAGAATACTTAAATACCTTTAAGTTTTGTAAAAAGTTATCATTTGAAAAGTTCACACAAAAAATGAACACAGTTGCAAAAAATATTTTTGAAATGCAAGTGAGCATGTGCTCTAAAAATAAACATGAGAGGTGATTCACTACCGAAGAAAAGATAATTGCTTTATCAATATCAAAGCAGAGTCCAAAATTTTATAGATTTTTAAGCAAAATTTTTTATTTTATCATCCAAAACCACACTGAATACTATGATTGGAAAATTGATCATAGAACCAGGCTTCATGTAAGTGGTAAATATATTCCATATAAGGTTTTTCATACTACTTTTATGACTTTTTGTATTACTACTAAATAATAATATGTACCTAACTATTTGAATTTACTTTTTCAGGTGGACAAATGAAACTCCAAAAAAATATGCTCCATTATATTTGATGAGATGTCATTAGAAACAGCACTCTTCGTATAATAAAAGTAATAAGGATTAAAGATAACATTAATGGATTTGTAGAACACCAAGAAAAGAAAGTGAATTTTGCAGATCATACTCTTGTTTCTATGTTGGTGCTGTTTACAAGTGGCAACAGCCTTTATGTTTCTATTTCTGTCAAGGAGCTACATCTACTGTAAACATCAAGAATATTTTAAAGTCAGTAGTAGAAAAAGTTATTGAATTGGACCTTAATCCCATCGCAATAATATATGACCAAGGCTCAGCTTTCCAATCAGCACTCAAAAATCTAAAAGAAGACACTAAGTGTGATCAAAGTTTAAAATGAAATCACAGGTTGGTACAGAGAATTATATTTATATGAAAGAAAACTAATAGATTTAATGAAAGCAGTGAAGGTTCTTATTATTATATTGTTATCTATGTTTTAAGAAGTTCTTAAATTTTTGTTTCAGTTGGCATTCTTAAAATATGTGGGGTGGATTTGAACATTATGATTCTACACACTTGATAAAATGTATCAGGAATAATTTTGGTGGTAAACTTGCAAAATGGCATGATATCTATGAGACAGACTGTCAACACACTGAAGCTGGGCTATTTTATAAATTAAATGACCAATGAGTTATACCTGATAAAATTAAAAAGATGAAGGTAATGCATTGGTTATTATATTAGTATAACTTAAATTAGTATAAATAAAATAAATAATTTGTATTCAGCTTCTATATTCTCTATCGGAGCAAGTGTTGATTCAATGACCTGTATTTTTAATTATGTAACAAGTAGTTAATATAGTTTACACTTAAACTACAATAATGATTCTCTAATGAAGATAATTTTAAATATGATATCTCTTTTTGCAGGTAAAAAATTGTGTAAAAATATGTCTGCAGCTTTGTCTTACACTGCAAATTTCTGTGAGTATTAGATGAAATTTACTAACAGTTAATTGTTTTGAATCAAGTTTCATACAATTATTATATGAATATTTTAATTTGCAGCAACTTATGAGGATGTGCACAACATTAAGAAATGCAGCTGATGTTGTTTCATTCTTTGACCAATTATTTGATAGTGTCAATGGAGCATCGACAAACAAAAAAAGCATAAAGGAAAAGAGCTGTGACAGATAAGACACACCATCATTCTTTCTGGCCAAAGGCAATTGAAATTTTAGAAAAACTTAAATATGTGTATAAAAAGGTATGCAAGAATCAGTGCCCTCTTTCAAAAAAATTGTGATTACCTTGAAAAGTTTCATAAGGTTGTGCCACTAAAAAAACGTAGCTAGGAATTGCTGAGAATGCAGAATGAAGCTGTGAAAAATATAATAAGTTAAAAAATAAATTGTTCAATAAATAATATTGGAAAAATGTGTGTTTCATTTACGTGGTCATTTTTCCTTTTTTGTTTTAATACAACAATAATATTAAGCTAGACTTATCAGTCTGCTTTATTATTATTGTTGTATTAAAACAAAAAAGGAATTTAATTAAAGTAAAAATAATGTGGAAACTAGGAAGACGGCTAGGTACCTACCCAAAACAGGGCTGTATAGCTAAATGCCTTTGCCGATAGTAGATCTATATATTTAAAACGAATGAAGCTGTCATGTATCACTGGCTCCCAATCACGTTCTACGAAGAAATTTTTTGTTAGGAAGTTGGTCGTCTGATACCTACTAAGTCTGTGATATTTAATATCCACAGATTAGCAATATGTAGTCTATATCTCGAGTTAACTCAAGTTGGGCTTATCACGAGTTAACTCGTGTTATCGTTTTGGATTTTCCGTAACTCGAGTTTGGATAAATATGTACTCTTTAAGCAGTAGGTATTATGCTGCGGAACTAGTTTTACGCCAGCAACTGCGCCCCTGTGGTCCTGTATTAATACACTTAAACGTTTATTTATTTTTATAACCCTATTCATAAGCAACAAATGTCACAAATTCATTCTCTTTATTTTTTTAATCATTAGCTATTTACATTAGAGGCTCCTCAAAAAAGATTGAAGAAAACTCAGCAACAGCTTTCACTGAGTCAAAGAATATTGCTCAAAATTTTGGTCATCTTAGATCAGCACTGCGATTCTGTCAAAATTCAGACTTGAATTCGAATTCACTCATGTGTCCGAATTAACGTGATTTCGAAAATAAATTCTATTGATACCCTTTTTTGTATAAAAATACAAAACTAAATTAATGAGGAAGTATTTAAATTAAAACGAAAGCACTAAAAAAGCACCTCCACTAGATGGCGACTCTAGCAAAAGTTGATTCTTGCAGGAAACGAATGGACTAAAGACAGTCATTTAAAAAAAATCTACAAAATACGATAAAATACAAATAGAATAGGAGTTGTTTATTGAGTTTTGAAAACTAATTTACTTTTAAACTTGAAAGAAAAACGGAAAGGTTTGCATGGAGAAATCAAGAATGTACCGTAGCGACATCTGGTTTGATTTCGGGAACTAATGTTTTTTATTTTTTAAATACTTTCTCATTTATACTCCACGCAAACGTCATTCTAGTCGGGTGGGGTTAATTCGTATAAGTACCAAGTATATTTGATATATATCGGATATCATACGGATAAAAAACAGATGTTTTATTATATTTATCGCTTTTTTCTGACCTTTGTTATTGACTTAAATAACGAAATATTACAAAGCAACAAAGCAAATATACAACAACTCTTTACTTTGATATGTCAAAGTGTTCGATTTCGTTTCTCATGAACAACTACTAAAAAAGTTATATAACAATGGTATCAGAGGTACCGCTTTAAATTGGATCAAAACATATTTACAAAATAGAATGCAATCTGTTGAAATAACTAAATTAGATTCAAAGGGCATAAATCGAAACTATCAATCAGAATTAAAAGTAAAAATTGGAGTTCCACAAGGAAGAGGTCCACGACTCTTTTATTTTTGATGTAGATTAACGACCTACCAAATGTAACTACACATAAAAGTATTTTATTTGCTAATGATATGTAGTGGTAACCTAACCTAACTATTAAAAAAACTGAAATTTTAAAAGTTTGAAACTTATCTAAGTTTACCTACCAATACAAACACGAAAAAGTACAAATAGAATATGAGTTGTATATTGAGTTTTGAAAATTAATTTACTTTTAAACATGAAAGAAAACCGGAAAGATTGTCAACTCAACTCTCTTCACGTGTCCGAAAAGTATATAATCTGTGTGTCCGATTTCCAAAAGAAAAGCAAGAATGGTTTTTTGGTAGGCTTGACTTGATATAAAAAATATCTCTATATTTGATGCAATTCATGACCAGTTTTCCAGACTGAATAATTCTGGAGACCCCCTAGGGCCATAAAGACAAAAAAAATGTAATTTAAAGATTACACTAATTATATTAATCAATCATTAACATTTCAAAAATTGTAACACAATTTAATATTTTGTTGTAAAATAAACAAATCCATCCTCAAAAAAAAATCTAGTGAATCTTGACTTTTTTTCTTATGAATTACAATTTATAACTGATTCGCTGTTTCCTATTACATAGGCAAAAGCTACGCCGGCCATCCCCATTATGTGAAAAGAAAACTAAAACTACAGTTGTTACTTAAATATACTTGTTATTTACTTATACTTATTCAATACTTACACATATTTATAAAATATGTAAAAATATTAACCTAATAATAGGTTATATATTATTCATTTAATAATTAAAATAATTATTTGTCTTTGCTAATAAATTATCACACTCAGTTCTTTTGCACACACACACACAATTACAAGTGCACAATATAGTTTACTTCTTTCTATAAAAAGAAAAATGAGGGCATAACCTTATTTAAATAAAATGCAATATAATTTGGTCAAAGCGACCGAAGATGGAGGTACTACTATAATTACGTCCCTATATTGTAGTCGTTTTAGGCATATGTAGGTA